TTTCTGATGACTTGGCGTGCAGATCGGAAAAGCATCGCCCAAGGCTTTAACTCGCGGTGGTTGGCTGTCCCGACGCAGCCGTCTGTGGTCTACCCTACACTTTCTTTTCCACAATGATCAACTCTTTGGCAGGGAAGGGCTTTGCACGCAGCGCGCAAGAAGCTCGCACATTTCACAAACGCACGCAGGGCGCAGTGCTCCAGCAGCCGCAGCTAGCAGCTTTTCCTCGGACGCTGGGAGGCCGGGGCCTGGAAGGCGCGGAGCGGCACCTCAGGGTGACACTCGGGCCTCAGACTCTGTCTCCGCGGACGCAGAACCACCCCTGGTCGCTCACCTGCTCCGGATTCCCGAACTTTGCGGCTCAGAGCGCGCTAGCGGCGGAGAGCGAGAAGGGAGCGCGCTCAGGGGAACCTGCGGCCGGGGCGCAGTCTCTCGGTGCAGTCTTGGCGAGATCCGACTTCTGGGAAGCGAACCAGCGGTAATCTGCGCAGCCCAGTGAAGCCGAGTGCCGCGGCGGGTCTCCCCAGGCGCCTACAAGTTCTGTGCGCGGCGCGGGCAGCTCGGGGTTTGCAGCGCGATTGGCTGCAATCGGTGGGACAGCCAGATTCGCTGCCCTCGGTGAACGCCAGGTGGGCGTTTCGGGTTAGCAACCTTTCATTCTCTGCGGTGCCTCTCTTCCCCGCTAGCAACCGCCCAGGAGCTGCGGAGAGATGGGTCCCGGCTGCTCGGACTGGCTCACTGAACCTTCCTACGCATCGGTAGGAACAGGAAAAGACATCTGCCCACCTGCTGGTTATTTGCCAAGTGATTCAAGAACTTAGAATCCGGGGGCAGCGGGAGAGAAGAAAAAGTAATCCAGGAGGCCCCTGCCACAGGTGCAGGTAGGAACTTCGCGTGCCCGCCCTCCAGGGGACGAGATTGGATAAGGTCGCAGACGTGGCGCCAGCCTGAGGTGTCTGATTGGAGAAGGACTGCCCTGCGCTGTCGCCGGCCGACTCCTCCTCGAGAAGCGGTGGAGACCAGAAGCCCTAGGTGGGCTCCGCTGCGTAAATGCCGCTGCAGCTCTCCCTCCGCCCTTTCCTGGATTTTTTCCCCCCTCCTTTCTGGATCCCGGGATCCTAAGTTTGGTAACTGACAGTAGCTAAGTCACACAGGGGCGAATGTTGCAGAATTTCAGGCGCCCTTTGTGAAAAACTAACATGATTAACAAGCCTGCTACATGTCAGCCAGGCCCTGTTCCGGGCGCTGTCTGTGGATTAAACTCTTCTGCTCCTCTCAGCAATTCGAGGAGGTAGCTACTATTATTCTCCCGAGGACACCTGATACGGGAAGGGTCAACGGTTGTTTTAGGGTGGACAGGGTGGTTCATGGCAGAGCCAGGCAGGAACCCAGGAGGTCTGACACCTGCGGTCACAGTCTTAGCCATCAGGTATACAGCAGCATGCCAATCTAAGGCTCTTAATGTGACTGAGGATGTAAATTTCCTTCTTTCGGGTCTGGAAGTCCATGAACAGCCAGCTCACCAAGGGAGCATAAATCCAACTGAGAGCTGCTGCAGGAAGTGAAGGGTGGATTGAATCAGGGGCAGGTTGCTTTTGTTCCTGGTTATGTATTGGTGCTTATTCGTGTAACAGTGTTGTACACAGGACGGTTCCACTCATGAAGGCAGAGGTGTGGCTTGCTTCATCTACTGGGATGCTCTTCTTTTTTTGGAACACTGTTTTGATGTTCCTTGAGCTCATGGACAAGCATAACTCCAGAGAGAGGTATGGAGCAACTTTGTTTTCAGGGCTTTCTGCGATATAAACACAATGAAAGACAACGCTCAACTCAGATACCTTGCAATACAGAAGTGGTAGGAAGACTTTTTATAATCTTTGGATGAATGAAAGAAGGAAAAACATGAGTACTTTTTCCGATCAACTTAGTTGGGAATTCTTTGCAAGTTTGCGATATGCACAATGGCAGCATGTATTTGAAAGTGATGCATTTTCGTGTATTCCTTGGGTTTTATTTTAGAGTTTGGACAGTCAATCATATCACGAGGAATGAACAAACAGAGGCCACCAACTTTGAAGGGAGAATGGGACAAGTCATCACAGTGCCAGCACTTTACCGATGAAGAAACTGAATCCTAGAGGGTTGCCCTTGTCTGAAGTGTCATCACCAGTAGAAAGTTCTAGAACTGGGTTGACGGGATGGGTGAAAGAATGAAGACCTTTAGGAAAATAAAATTAGTCCTATCAGATGGCTTCTTTATCTGTTGTGATTTTAACAAAGGGGTCTGTATTTTCTTATTAGTCTCTACTGAAGTGCTAAAATTAAAAAAAAATAATAATTCTCTCACAACCCCTTTCTTACTCAAGAACTTGGAATGTGTCTGCTGTGTTTCATGGATTGAAGACAGCACCTTACAAGTAACCCTTGAATTCAGTGAGGATGGGAAATTAGCTGGGTGGAGAATGAGTGAGCATTCCAGACAGAGAGATCGACATGCAAAAGCCTTCAGGTATGAGAGTTCAGGGTTATTGGAGGAGAGGAGAGAACGCTGCTGTGATCTGAGGGCAGAGAGCGGCTGAAGCTCAGCTGGAGATAGAGCTGGGCAGGTGAGGTCGAAGAGGGCTTCACAAGCAAGACACCAGGCGGCTTGGTGGTTGGGGTGCTAGACTCCCACATGACCGACCAACCGTGCTGTGATGTCTTGACCCTGGAGGCTGGCTCTCTCACTTTCTCCCCCTCTCTTGGTCTGTCTCTCTCTGGCAAATGCACATGCCCTATTGCAAATGAAAAAATAGTAATAATAAACTAAATGAAATAATTCTTTTTTTTTGAGAGGTTTTTCACTATAGGGCGTGTGCGCTTGCCAGACAGAAAGAGACAGAGACACAAAGTGAGAAATCACCCCCCAGAGGGGATAGCCATGCTGCAATCCCCTCTCCTCCATTCTCCTCTCAGGATCTTGGGCACACACACACACACACACACACACACACACACACACGCCCTGAGTGGGTTTTACGCCACCGGGCCCGGGACGTGAACTGCGGTTGACTACATGGGAGTCCAGTGACATAGCCATTACGCTAACTGCTGGTTCCCTGAAATAAATAATTCTTAGTGCTAATATATTTAAGTAGCACTGTAGCTGTGTATAAAGAGTGGGAGTTAAAGGGGGCAAGATACAGCCACCAGGAAACCAGTTTGGAACTGTCGGAATAATTCAGGTGGGATATTCTGATGGCCTATGGGTAGCAGTGGTGGCAGTGGGAGGAGGGGTTTGAAAAGAACTGGATGGGAAAGATGTCACAGGGAGAAGCCACAGGATAACTTCTGTGTTACAGTACTTAAAAACTCGTAGACTGGACAATGTTTT